CTGTTTGCCCTCGTGGCAGCCTGCGCCACATGGGGCGACGAATGGGCTAAGCTCCGGATTCGGGTACACTGCGACAACTCGGCGGTAGTGGACTGCATCCGTTCGGGCACGTGCAAAGCCTCAGCTGTGATGAAGTTGCTACGCGAACTGTTCTTCGTTTGCTATGAGTTCAACTTTCATGTTAGCGCTGTGCACATTGCTGGCTCCAAGAATGTCATTGCAGATTGCCTTTCTCGTTTTCTTATGCAGGAATTTCGACGTCATGCTCCGTTAGCGCGACCGAGTCCAGACCGTGCTCGTCTTCCAGCAGTCTTGTGAGTGAAGTTACTAAGTACGCTGCCTGTGCAATTGCTGCTAATACCAGACGCACCTACTCTGCCGGTGAACGTCGTTTTGTCAGTTTCTGCTCCCTTTGCAATCTGCAACCTTACCCAGCTTCTGATCTTACCCTCAGCTGCTTTTGCGCTTTTCTTGCTCGCTCTGTCCGCCCTTGCACGATATCTGTTTATTTGCAAGCTGTACGGAATGCACACATTGAACAGGGTCTAGAGGATCCCCTGATCGAGACCTGGCTTCTCAAGAGAGTGTTGAAGGGTGTTCAGCGGTGCCATGGGACCGAGACAGTAAAGCCTAGATTGCCCATAACTATGCCAACTCTAAGGAAATTAGTCGATGCCTGTGATCACCTCCCCGTGTTGCCCGAGCATGACCGAGTTCTCTTCAAGTCTGCTGTGCTGTTGGCATTCTTTGGTTTCCTAAGGTGCTCCGAATTTACAGAGGGCCTTACAAGAGAGTGTATCAGATTTGAGTCGGGCAGCATGACCATCAGTAGTTAGTGCGGGGCGGGTTCTGGGCCACTTTTTGACCTTTGACCTTTGGGCCAAATAAGGCACACTGTGTCGGTCGTGCTTGGTCTGGCCCCGGGACTTCCCCCAGGGTTTGACCTTTGACCTTTGGGTTAAATAAGGCACACTGTATCGGGCGCGCTTGGTCTGGCCCCGGGACCCCCTAGGGTTTGACCTTTGGCCCTGCCATGTCATAAATGTCATCATGTTCTTTTCCGTGGCGACCGTGCACTTGTGCACGTTCGGTGCATTCGCACCGGGGAGTAGTAAAATACGTACTACTCCCTGATTTGCACATCGTAGATGTGCAGTGACATATTGCGCATGCGCGCATAAGCACGCGGAGCGTGCGCATGCAACCTTCAGTGGCCCTGCGGAAAAGACGCATACACAAGGTGTACACGTGTCATTGTAGGGTGATCGATAGTGCTGACCCGAATTTGCCAGCTGAATCTCGATATTTTGCGGCATAATTTTGCTCGTGCATTGTCGAAATTTTGCTTTCATTTTGCTAGGCCACTCGATATTTTGCTCCCTTTTTGCTCCAAAATTTGTGTCACGTGTGAGAAAACTGACCGAAAGTGGGTTACGTGTTGGCAAAAATGAGAAAAAGTGAGTCACGTGTTGGTAAAATTGTGCCGAAATGAGTCATGTGCACCGTATATGTGTAAAATCTCCCAATTCCCAGCCAACACACCGATATTTTGCTCCATTTTGCCAGCAAATTCCCTTTCAAAATTCTTCGATATTTTGCTAGAAGAATTGCTAGCAAATTCGGGTCAGCACTAGTGATCGACCTCATATACGCTGTACGGGGAGATTTTTTCCTCAGTATGTTGTAGGCAGTGCTGGAGGTGACGTGACGATGGCGGAGCCAAGTGCAAAACGATCCAGGCAGCCCAGACAGCCCACCTCGAGTGCCGTGCGTGGTTTTTTGAAAAAGTTTTCTTTGCCAGGTTCAGGCACTGATCCTCTCGTCTTTTTCAGCAGCCATCATGACGAGCTCTGACAGGTTCTGCTCGAGGAGCTTCAGTCTCACCCTTTCAAGGTGGTGTTAGTTTTGAGGGTGGAGATGACACGAGAGTCGGCCACGGGTAGTACGTCTGCCGTCCCGTTTTTTAGAAGTAGACCGGCTCGGATCCTCAGCGAAGGGGATATTGATAGTGCAGTCAAGACGATTGTGGCGAGGATCACTGGTCTTATTGATAAGTGGGTGCAGAACGGATCCAACTGGACCGTTTCTCGAGTGAGGCAGCTGGATGTGTCGACAGCAAAGTACACTCCTCTTCGAGGTGAGTTTCTGTTCATCCGACAGTGTTTGTTCGAAGCCTGTCGAATTTCTTGTGGAAAGTTGTAGACGTATGTTTCGTACCAGATGTACAGTTTTTCGTGATTGTCGAGAGGGTGTAGTTGTGATGTGGTGTTACTCTGAGCAAAGCCTTCGTTGTATTTTTGTGGTGTACTGTAGGTGGTGCAGCTGCTATCCCGCCGAAATTAGAAAAAAAGAAGGCCATCATTAACGTAAAGAACAACGATGACAGGTGTTTGATGTGGGCGTTGTTGTCAGCGCTGCACCCCGTCGAGCAGCATGCTGAGCGTGCATCCAAGTACACCCAGTATGTGGAAGAGCTGCGGTTCGACGGTGTAATGTTCCCTGCAACGCTCCGTGATGTATCCAAAGTGGAGATACAGAATGGTCTTGCAATCAATGTGTTTGGGTACGAGGGGAATCTGTACCCACTGTATCTCAGCGAGCGACAGGAGACTCCCATCAACCTGCTTCTACATGACAACCACTTCACATGGATAAAAAACTTCAGTCGTGCATGTGAGAATAAGAACAAGCGGGCAACACACTACTGCTTCCGATGCCTCTCCGCACACAAAACAGCAGACTCCCTGCAGCATCACAGCGAGAGATGTCAGGTGATGAAGCCCGTGCCAGTCGTCATGCCCACAGCAAAGGACAGCATCCTCAAATATACAAATTTGAAGCACAGGATGGTGGCTCCATATATCATTTACGCTGATACGGAGGCCATCATTGAGCCGATGGAGGAACAGCATGGCAGCAGCACTGTACGCACAGCCCGTCATGTACCATGCAGCATCAGGTATGTTTTGTTGTTGGTGTTGTTTTTGACTAATTTTTGCTGTACTCATGCCTCCACAGTGCTTCCTGTTATTCCTTCTTGTCTTGTTCTCCCCTAATTGTGTTCGTGTTGTAGTATGTGCATTTTGTGTGATTCCATTTTTTCAAAAAAATCACTTATTCTTACTTTCCCTCTTCTTTTATGCTCTTGTAGATATGCTGCCATCCGATCCAACGGTGAAGTCCGTGGCGAGTTTGACGACTGCAGTGAGAATGCCATTCACAACTTTTTCGACAGTCTCAAAGAGTTGGAAGGCAGTATCCAGGAGGATTTGGCTGATATCAGGCCAATTCGCATGACGGCAGAACTGGAGCTTGAGTTTCAGAACGCAGTCAACTGCTGGATATGTGATGAAGTACTTGGAGAAGATCGTGTTCGTGATCATGATCATCTCACTGGTAAGTATTATAATTTTTTGTTTATTTTTGTTGTTTTGCAGTTGTGTGTAGATATGCGCATGATGTGTATAGTGCATTTTCATGTCTTTGTAGCTGTTTGCATCTGTGTTTTATCATGGTGTATTGAATTGTATTGTCTGTGGTATCACCTTCACTGTAGATGTATACTATGTTTGTGTATTCCCCTCTTTCTGAATATCTGTACAGGCAACTACCGTGGTGCTGCACACTACCAGTGTAATATTCAGCTGAGTATCTACCCAGATCGCCAGATCATTCCGGTTGTGTTTCACAACCTGAAAGGGTACGATGCTCACCACCTCATCGCCCACATTGGTATGACCGAGGTTGAAGAGGTGGAGTACGAGGACTCTAACCAGCGTAAGCGGATTAAGAAGGTTGGTGAGATCAGTGTCATCGCCAACAACATGGAGAAATATATTTCATTCAAGTGGCGCCAGTACCGCTTCATCGACTCCATGGCCTTCTTGAACTCCTCTCTGGACTCGTTGGTGAGCAACACTCCGGAAGATGCCTTCAAGCTTACTCGTACATTGGCCCATCATGACCTTCTCCTGCGTAAGGGTGTCTACCCCTACGAGTACATGGACTCCTTTGCTCGGTTTGATGAGACACAGCTGCCACCTAAATCAGCATTTGAGTCTAGTTTGACTGGAGAAGGTATCAGTGATGCCGACTATGCCCATGCTCAGAACGTATGGCAGGTAAGCAGCTTGTGCCTTCTGTATTGTGCTCTACTTATGACTTTGAATGCTGTTGTGATGTGCTCTACTCATTTTCTTTGTACTCATTGCTCTCTATCTGTGGATATGTGGATGCTTGTGTGTATGGATGTGTGCATGTGTGTGCGTGCGTTGCTGTTTTTTTGGGTTTTTTGTTTCGTTTTTGTTTCGTAGACATTTGAGTGCAGTACAATGGAGGCCTATCATGACCTCTATTTGCAAACAGATGTCTATCTTCTAGCAGATGTCTTTGAGCATTTCCGCAAGACGGCATACAAGACGTATGGGTTGGATCCAGCCCATTACCTTACTCTCCCAGGTATGTTCATCAGTCTTTGTTGTTGTCCAATGCATTCTCTCCTTTAGATGGTGTTCTCTGTTAGTATTCTTGTGCTTTCTTGTCGGTGTATTTTTATACTTTTTGCATGGTGTATTGACTTTCGTGTTTGTGTTCTGGTGTGTTGTATGGTGTTATGTAGGATATGCATGGGATGCTCTACTACGGTTCACCCAGATTGAACTGCAGCTGCTCACGGATGTAGACATGCATCTGTTTGTCGAAGCCGGTCTACGTGGGGGCATCTCAATGGCGTCGCAGCGGTACGGCAAGGCCAACAACCCAACGATGGATCAGTACAATCCTGCCGAGCCCACATCATACCTGCTATACCTTGATGCCAACAACCTGTATGGCTGGGCTATGTGCCAGAGTATGCCGACGTCTGAGTTTGCCTGGTGTGACAAGAACCTGTCCGAGATACTGGCACACCCTGTAGATTCGAGCACTGGGTTCATTGTGGAGTGTGATCTTGAGGTACCTTCTTCGCTGCACCACTACTTCAATGATTATCCACTTGCACCGGAAGTGATGAGAACATTCTCAGATAAGCTATCACCATACCAACAAGCACTTGTGGAGGAGCTCAAAGTGTCAGCCGTAGATGGAGTCAAGTTGACACCCAGTCTCCTACCCAAGTCCAAGTATGTGTTACACTACCGTACACTGCAGCTGTATTCGCGTCTGGGCATGGTGGTGACCGCTGTTCACAAGGTGTTGGGATTTCAGCAGAGTGCCTGGATGGCTCCCTACATCAATCTGAACACTGCACTTCGCACGAGGGCTACAACCGACTTTGAGAAGAGCTTTTACAAGGTAAATGCAACCGTTGTGTGCAGTCTTGTATGTTGTTGTTGTTGTTTTTTGTTGTTGCATGTATGGTGCAAGTGTGACGTGGAGTATGCTAATTGAAAAATATGCTGATGTGAAGGAATGGCATGATATGATTCTCATGTGTCATGTTTGCCTGTTTGTGTGCTGCAGCTGATGAACAACTCAGTCTTTGGCAAGACGATGGAGAACGTTCGTAATCGAATACGCATCGATCTCTTGCGAGAAGAAAGTGAGGAGCAGGTACTGAGGGCAGTGAGCAAGCCTACATATGTGCGGCACGACATTTTCCCGAACGGGCTTGTCGGAATAGAAAAGCAGCACACTGAGATCAAGCTCAACAAGCCGGTCTATGTGGGTATGTCGATACTAGACCTGTCAAAGGTACACATGTACTCCTTCTACTACGATGTGCTGAAGGAGCAGTACGGTAGCAGAATCCGGCTGTTGTACACCGACACCGACTCTGTTATTGTGCACATAACCACCGGTGATGTTTATGCAGAGATGGATCTGTCTCTGTATGACACCAGCAACTTTCCCACTGACCATCCTCAGTACACTTCTGCCAATAAGAAAGTGGTTGGCAAATTCAAAGATGAGCTTGGTGGGAAATCCATGGTGGAGTTTGTAGGTCTAAGATCGAAGATGTACTCCTACATCGGGCAGGAATCGGCCAAACGGGCCAAGGGTGTTCGGAAGGCAGTCCTGGCAAATACCATCACCCACAAGGACTATGTAGATGCACTGCTCAGTCATCGTGTGTCTGCCAGGCCTATGACGGGTCTCCGATCACATTGCCACACAGTGTATGAGGAGGTAACCACCAAGGTGGCATTGTCTCCATTCGACTGCAAGCGGTATATAATGGATGATGGCATGGCCACACTTGCATATGGTCACAAGGACATTTAATGGGCAGGACCCCACATTGAACATGTTTCATCATTTTCATGCAAAACTCCCCGCCATTCTTCTGTCTAATATTCCTCCTTTCTTGACGTGTGGAGCTGGCTCCAACACTCTACATTTTTGTTAAATATTTCAGGCTTGTGCCTCAATTATATTGCAGGATATAGTGCATTGTGCGGTATAATAATCTTCATCGTATCATCAAATATTACCCTACACACTTTGGTTTGCAGTGTGTGCACAGCATAGTCCATATATCATCAAATTGATCAAGTTCAGTATCTGCGGGCATATATTTCCCCAGCTTGAGAAAATGCTTATATACTTGCATAAATTTATGCTCACAATGATGACATTAAAATGACATTAACTCTACCACACATTATATTACCAGACACTGTTGTTGTTGTCGTCGTCGTCGTCGTTGTTGTTGTTGTTGTTGTTGTTGTTGTTGTTGTTGTTGTTGTTGGTTGTTGTTGGCTGTTGTTGGCTGTTGTTGGTTGTTGTTGGTTGTTGTTGGTTGTTGTTGGTTGTTGATGTTGGTTGTTGTTGTTGGTTGTTGTTGTTGGTTGTTGTTGTTGGTTGTTGATGTTGGTTGTTGTTGGTTGTTGTTGGTTGTTGTTGGTTGTTGTTGGTTGTTGTTGTTGTTGGTTGTTGTTGTTGGTTGTTGTTGTTGGTTGTTGTTGTTGGTTGTTGTTGTTGGTTGTTGTTGTTGGTTGTTGTTGTTGGTTGTTGTTGGCTGTTGTTGGTTGTTGTTGGTTGTTGGTTGTTGTTGTTGGTTGTTGTTGGTTGTTGTTGGTTGTTGTTGGTTGTTGTCGGTTGTTGTTGGTTGTTGTTGGTTGTTGTTGATTGTTGTTGGCTGTTGTTGTTGTTGTTGGTTGTTGTTGTTGGTTGTTGTTGTTGGTTGTTGTTGGTTGTTGTTGTTGGTTTTTGTTGTTGGTTGTTGTCGGTTGTTGTTAGTTGTTGTTGGTTGTTATTGGTTGTTGGTTGTTGTTGGTTGTTGTTGATGGTTGTTGTTTGTTGTCCCATGGGACAATGAAACTTCAAAGGAAAGTGGCTACTGACGAGGCACCTGTGACCACGCCAATGCCTGAAACTGATGAAGCTGAGGAACGGAGGATCCTTGAGTTGGCCCTTAGCCGACTTGAGCGTGATTAACGCACTGTTTACACTCCTCAGCAAATCCCATCAAATCGGAGCACATGTTGACGGGAGCTTAGAGTTGGCGCTGCTCACTAATGGCAAAATATTTTAAATGGCCGCCAAGACCTTTCTCAATAGGCGGAAGAGTCACCTGTATGCAATACGTTGTACATGTCATGTGTGTGTATTGTATATGCATTGGGCTCGAGTAACTCAACAGCATTCGCTCAGTAACACTCAACACTCCCACCATCAAATGGGAATACACGTGTTGAAGCAAGCTTAGAATGAGCGTTACTTGGTAATAACAGAATGAACCCGATGACCTACATGTACGTAAACAGGTGGCTAAATCACTGGTACACAATGCATTCGGCATGAGATAAGCATTTACTCCCTCATCAACTGTAATATGTTCCATGCGGTCGCCAGGTGTGTGTCTCTGCTAGGTAAATGGACGGGATAAGGTATTATGTTCAGTTCATGTTCGAGTCCGTTGTAGTTTTGACAGAGATCGAGATGTCACGCTGGTTGCTGAATTGGATGACGGCAACGCAAACCAATAGTGGTCAGGAAGTTGGTCCACGAGCTGCTGTTGTCCAACGGAACGATGATAGTGACGAAGATGAAGCAGAAGAAAGTGTTAAATTTGTTCTCAGGAAGAGGAAGAGAGTGACGACATCATCCTTGCTTCTACCTGTCATGTTGAATCCAGGATTTCTGGGTTTTGTAGGATCGTTGCCACGCAAGCGTCGGTTCTGGTCGGCTCATGCTGATGGCGACGATGATGGTGTTTGGGAAAAAGAGATCTTGGGGACATGGAGTAGACTTGGACAAGACTTCCAAGGTGTCGAAGATGAGAGGTTCATCGAAAAGTTTCGAGTGACCAAATGCACATTTCTGGCTGTGCACGATTTGGTCAAAGATACCATTGATTGTCAGACGACGCACTTGCGCAAGTGATCTCTGGGAAAAAAACGTCTTGCAATATTCCTCCAATGGATGGCTCATGCCGAGGAATTCCAGCAGTTGGCAAAAGAGTATCGCATAGGTACTTCTACAGTCCATAACATCGTGCAAGCGTGTGTATCTGCATTCCGGCAACTTGCGCCTAAGTTCATTGTCTTTCCCCAAGACCAGCTCAATGTAGCTGACGTCGTCTCCGGCTTTAAATCTCTGTTCCACCTACCTGGCTGTGCTGGTGCCGCCGTTGACGGCACTTTCATGATTTCATGAAAGTGCCGTCAACGGCGGAATTTTCATGAAATTGCCGTCAACGGCGGCACCAGCACAGCCAGGTAGGTGGAACAGAGATTTAAAGCCGGAGACGACGTCAGCTACATTGAGCTGGTCTTGGGGAAAGACAATGAACTTAGGCGCAAGTTGCCGGAATGCAGATACACACGCTTGCACGATGTTATGGACTGTAGAAGTACCTATGCGATACTCTTTTGCCAACTGCTGGAATTCCTCGGCATGAGCCATCCATTGGAGGAATATTGCAAGACGTTTTTTTCCCAGAGATCACTTGCGCAAGTGCGTCGTCTGACAATCAATGGTATCTTTGACCAAATCGTGCACAGCCAGAAATGTGCATTTGGTCACTCGAAACTTTTCGATGAACCTCTCATCTTCGACACCTTGGAAGTCTTGTCCAAGTCTACTCCATGTCCCCAAGATCTCTTTTTCCCAAACACCATCATCGTCGCCATCAGCATGAGCCGACCAGAACCGACGCTTGCGTGGCAACGATCCTACAAAACCCAGAAATCCTGGATTCAACATGACAGGTAGAAGCAAGGATGATGTCGTCACTCTCTTCCTCTTCCTGAGAACAAATTTAACACTTTCTTCTGCTTCATCTTCGTCACTATCATCGTTCCGTTGGACAACAGCAGCTCGTGGACCAACTTCCTGACCACTATTGGTTTGCGTTGCCGTCATCCAATTCAGCAACCAGCGTGACATCTCGATCTCTGTCAAAACTACAACGGACTCGAACATGAACTGAACATAATACCTTATCCCGTCCATTTACCTAGCAGAGACACACACCTGGCGACCGCATGGAACATATTACAGTTGATGAGGGAGTAAATGCTTATCTCATGCCGAATGCATTGTGTACCAGTGATTTAGCCACCTGTTTACGTACATGTAGGTCATCGGGTTCATTCTGTTATTACCAAGTAACGCTCATTCTAAGCTTGCTTCAACACGTGTATTCCCATTTGATGGTGGGAGTGTTGAGTGTTACTGAGCGAATGCTGTTGAGTTACTCGAGCCCAATGCATATACAATGCACACACATGACATGTACAACGTATTGCATACAGGTGACTCTTCCGCCTATTGAGAAAGGTCTTGGCGGCCATTTAAAATATTTTGCCATTAGTGAGCAGCGCCAACTCTAAGCTCCCGTCAACATGTGCTCCGATTTGATGGGATTTGCTGAGGAGTGTAAACAGTGCGTTAATCACGCTCAAGTCGGCTAAGGGCCAACTCAAGGATCCTCCGTTCCTCAGCTTCATCAGTTTCAGGCATTGGCGTGGTCACAGATGCCTCGTCAGTAGCCACTTTCCTTTGAAGTTTCATTGTCCCATGGGACAACAAACAACAACCATCAACAACAACCAACAACAACCAACAACCAATAACAACCAACAACAAACAACAACAACCAACAACAACCAACAACAACTAACAACAACCGACAACAACCAACAACAAAAACCAACAACAACAACAACCAACAACAACCAACAACAACAACCAACAACAACAACCAACAACAACAACAACAGCCAACAACAATCAACAACAACCAACAACAACCAACAACAACCGACAACAACCGACAACAACCAACAACAACCAACAACAACCAACAACAACCAACAACAACAACCAACAACCAACAACAACCAACAACAGCCAACAACAACCAACAACAACAACCAACAACAACAACCAACAACAACAACCAACAACAACAACCAACAACAACAACCAACAACAACAACCAACAACAACAACAACCAACAACAACCAACAACAACCAACAACAACCAACAACAACCAACAACAACCAACAACAACAACCAACAACAACAACCAACAACAACAACCAACATCAACAACCAACAACAACCAACAACAACCAACAACAGCCAACAACAGCCAACAACAACCAACAACAACAACAACAACAACAACAACAACAACGACGACGACGACGACAACAACAACAGTGTCTGGTAATATAATGTGTGGTAGAGTTAATGTCATTTTAATGTCATCATTGTGAGCATAAATTTATGCAAGTATATAAGCATTTTCTCAAGCTGGGGAAATATATGCCCGCAGATACTGAACTTGATCAATTTGATGATATATGGACTATGCTGTGCACACACTGCAAACCAAAGTGTGTAGGGTAATATTTGATGATACGATGAAGATTATTATACCGCACAATGCACTATATCCTGCAATATAATTGAGGCACAAGCCTGAAATATTTAACAAAAATGTAGAGTGTTGGAGCCAGCTCCACACGTCAAGAAAGGAGGAATATTAGACAGAAGAATGGCGGGGAGTTTTGCATGAAAATGATGAAACATGTTCAATGTGGGGTCCTGCCCATTAAATGTCCTTGTGACCATATGCAAGTGTGGCCATGCCATCATCCATTATATACCGCTTGCAGTCGAATGGAGACAATGCCACCTTGGTGGTTACCTCCTCATACACTGTGTGGCAATGTGATCGGAGACCCGTCATAGGCCTGGCAGACACACGATGACTGAGCAGTGCATCTACATAGTCCTTGTGGGTGATGGTATTTGCCAGGACTGCCTTCCGAACACCCTTGGCCCGTTTGGCCGATTCCTGCCCGATGTAGGAGTACATCTTCGATCTTAGACCTACAAACTCCACCATGGATTTCCCACCAAGCTCATCTTTGAATTTGCCAACCACTTTCTTATTGGCAGAAGTGTACTGAGGATGGTCAGTGGGAAAGTTGCTGGTGTCATACAGAGACAGATCCATCTCTGCATAAACATCACCGGTGGTTATGTGCACAATAACAGAGTCGGTGTCGGTGTACAACAGCCGGATTCTGCTACCGTACTGCTCCTTCAGCACATCGTAGTAGAAGGAGTACATGTGTACCATTGACAGGTCTAGTATCGACATACCCACATAGACCGGCTTGTTGAGCTTGATCTCAGTGTGCTGCTTTT